TGGGGCTCTCAGAGGCGGCCCGGTGGATCGAGGCGGGAGGCCCGGCGCCGCCCAAAGCTTGGGGCTCCGTGGGCCGGGCCTCGCCGCGTCGGTGGGCAGTGAGCGCCATCGCCCCGCGCGGCCGTGCGGCTCTGGGCCCCCGAGGCCGCCGCCCGCCCCCGCGTCTTCTGCCCCCCTCCCCCGTCGCTGCCCTGACTGCTTGCAGCGTGCACGGTTTTCCAGAAAGTCCTCCGAGGTTAGTCCGCCGAGGGCAGGAAGCCAGGACCCCATCGAGGGCTGTGCTGGCCGAGTGCGGACGTTAAAAACGCTCTCCCCGGGCTGCCTATCACCCGCTAGCAACTTTCCCGTTTTTCTGTTCCCCTTTGCAGCAGAACTCCTCCAGAGAGGGCACCCACGCCGCTCACATTTGCCTCCTGCTTGCTGTGTGCCAAATGCAACGAGGTCATCCTCAGATCCCGAGGCGGTTGGCCCCACTCATCAATTGCCATCTTCCGGAGCCCCTGTCTTGGCTTGCTTTCCACCCTTCCGCGCGCTTCTGGTTTTCTTTTTACCTCCCCGGCGGAGCCCTCTGGGATCTCCTTTGCTGGACCAGCCTTTGGACCACTTCTCTTTTCACAGCCCAGGACTTCCTCATCTAATCCCGTGGGTGGTGGTCAGAGACGGCTTTAAACTCAGTCTCTAGTTCCACCCTTTTCTCCAGACCCCCAAGGACCGTGTTTAACTCCATCCTGTTCATCTCTGTTTGAATGTATTAATGGGCGTCTGAAGTTCACTTTAGGTAGAACTTTTCATTTACCCTCATCCACCAAATACAAGGCACACCTCCTCCAGTGTTCCCTACTTCAATAAATGGTATGTCCTTTATCCCGTTTACTCAGGCCAAAGTCCTTGAAATCATCCTTGACTCTTATCTTTGGCCCTATCTTCAAAAAATGTTGAATTCCAACCACATGTACCCTAGTCCAAGCCAAATCATTTCATTTGCACGGTCTGTAGCACTAGGATCCTACTGCTTTCCCCGCTTCTACTCTTGGATTCTGTGGAGGTTACATATAGGTCATTTCTCATTTCTATACTTGCCCTTGTAGACTACTGTACTGTGGGGGCCCAGAGTGTATAGACTACTTTCCCCAGGTTCTCATGCCGGAGCTTCTACCATTGGGAGGTGTAAGCAGGAAGAAAGAAGGTAGGAGGTGGAGAGTAACCTGCTTGCTTCTGGATTCAATAGTGTAATAGTTGCTGGCCACTTCTCCGGTGAAAGGGGAGGTAGGATCATTCCTGACTCCAGCAGTTCCATCCTCGGTCCAGGCAACACGTCTGTAGTAAATAGAGGATGACGGTGACAGGCACCAGAACTGATGCAGCTCCCGTGGGTTTCGCCAAGGGTATTTTTAGCAGCCTCTAATCTTTGATACCACTCCATTCTTCCATTTAATATGTGACTCCTAAAATTCTGCCTGAAATAACTAGAGTGGTTTCTCTTTCCTGGGCTGGACCCTGACTGACACACTTTGCTACAGCCTTTTCTCCAGCCAGCTGTCGTGGGTCCTTGTTTATGCCTGTCTTCCCCATTCGAATGTCTTATAAAGGCAGGGACTTTGTCTTGCGTGTTCACTGTAATATTAGCATCTAGTGTAGAACGTGGCCATTGGTTGGTATTCAATAAAGATTTATTGAAAGAATGAATGAATGATACACTGCTGATTAGTCTCAGTGTCTTGGCACTGTCCACATTTGCGGCTTTCTCAATAGCGTGTAAAAATTGAGGCTTATTTAGAATCTTAGGGAAGGAAGAAGTTGTCATGACCATCAAACTCTTCTCTACTTCTCCCTTGCCTTTTTTTGGCAAAAAGAAAGGTGGCGGGGGGGGGGGGGGGGAGCCAGTTCACGGGCGCCTGGGTGGCTCAGTTGTTGGTTAAGCGACTGACTGCCTTCAGCTCAGGTCATGATCCTGGAGTCCCTGGATCGAGTCCCGCATCGAGTCCCGCATGGGGCTCCCTGCTCGGCAGGGAGTCTGCTTCTCCCTGTGACCCTAACCCCTCTCATGTGCTCTTTCTCGTTCTCTCTCTCTCAAATAAATAAATAAAATCTTAAAAAAAAAAAAAGCCAGTCCACATGGAGATACCATGGTTAAAGGGGAGAGTGCAGGCTTCTTACATTCAGGAAAAGCTATAATCTCTAACACACACCAAGTCTTTAAGCCAAGTCCATAACTAGCAGAGATGCCTGTGAATAACAGGCCAGCCATCTAATGTTAATATTTAGACTTGTGGAGCAAAGTTTGAATTACCCCAGAGTTCACCACAGAGTATACCCAATTATCTTTTTAATCTGATCTGCGTGGCCATTTTTTAACTCATTCTATAAATCATTATGTAAAGGACCAGATAAATCGAAATGCAAATCTTGCCCAACTAAAAAAAATGTAGGGCGCCTGGGTGGCTCAGTTGGTTGAGCAACTGCCTTCGGCTCAGGTCATGATCCTGGAGTCCTGGGATCGAGTCCCGCATCGGGCTCCCTGCTCGGCAGGGAGC